TGTGTGTGTGTGTATCTATGCATACATATATCTCACACTGAGGCTGGATTGCTACGGCTAGAAGAAAGTGGGGTGTATGAGGCTTGTCACTCAGTCCACTGGCTCCCCATGAAGGGCTACCTTATTGAGGGGCTAGGGATCAAGAGGGAACAGGAAGTTGGCTGTGTTTGCTGGGGTCTTCCCACTGCTGGACTGAGGGTCCTGGCTGTGTGTCAGGAGGTGTAAGGATTGCCCCATGCTGGAGCTCTGAGAGCAAAGCCGAGATGACTGTGTGGGGGACTAGAGAGGAAGGGGTCTACCACCGGTAGATTTGAGCTGATTGAAGAGAGAACTTTCTGGAGAGGAGAGATGTTAGAGCAGGTAAAGGATGGCCTGGTAGGCAGGAGCCCTGGGAATAGGAGGTCATGGTGCGTGGGATACAGAGGTGGCTTTCAGGGACACATGGTTGTCCCCATCTTTACTGTTCCTGGGAAGCTAGGACCCTATCCCATGTGAGCCCGAGTCCCTGAGTCAGGACCTGTTCTGAAGTGAAGATGTTTGCTTTGAACCTGACCAAGTATCTGGAGACCAATCCTGAGACAGGCCAAATAGGAGAAGGTTCCTTAGTGTTTGGGTCTCTTGTCTGTGACACAAGGGCAATCCCTGCCTCCTGGAGAAATGCTAAGGAAGACATGACTTTACAGGGAAGGGCAGTCTGATATAGGGGTGCTTCAGCAACTCCCTGGTCCTCTGGGTAGGAGTGATGCCTGTGGTGCCCGATGGCCAGTATGGCAACCTAAGGCTGAGTGTCAGTCTGGCATCTGTCTGTCAGTCCAGCATCTGTTTTTGGAGCTACTACAGCTTCTGTCTGAGTCTTAAGGTGGGACAGACCCAGATGAGCATAAGAAATCCTGCTTCAGGTAGAGACGTTCATCAGTTTCCTTCTTGCCCCAGGATACAGCTCCTCTCCTGTCCCCTGAGCTCACACTTCCAAGGACACATGCTAGTTACCATATCTTTGAAAGCCGAACTGCCCAAAGCCTTGGCCCTTGACAGAGCCTTGGTAGATGAAGGTGCCTCCAGAAGATTCTGAGGAGACCTGTAACAGCAGAAATGGGCAGGAGGAGAGAGATGGGGAGAGAGGGAGGCAGGGAGATAGGGAAAGAGGACGAAGGAGGGAAGGAGGGAGAAAGGGGGGCAAGGCATGTTAGAACAATCTGGAACTCCTGCCAGACCAGAGCATAGCTGGCACATGTGTGTCAGTTGGCAGAGCTGGGACGCCTCCTAGAGGTGAGGTGTGGGTGGGGGAATGTGGTTTTTTTTTCTCTTTTCTTTTTCTGGATTTTTGAGACGGATCTCAAGTAACTTTGGCAGGTCTTGAATTTCTATATATTGCCAAAGACAGTCACAAACTCTTGTTCCTTCTTTCTACAACTCCCCAGCGCTGGGAGTTAACGTGTGAGGAGGCACTGCCTGTGCCCTTCGGGTTCTGCTGCTCACACCACGTTGTGCTTCAGTTCCCATTTGTGGAATGTCATGTATCCGGCACTGTGAGGTCCGAGGGACACAGTGGTGTCCCTCAGCTCGGTCTTCAATAGGCTTTGGGCACATGGAGTTGTAAGAGTGAACTGTGATGAAAGCTGACTGGCAGTCTACTGACAGAATTACGAGGGAGACAAGCCTGGCAGAGTGAGCACGTTCTGGAGAGTTTCTGACAGTTCCAGAGGATGTCGGTTACTGAGGTGGTGGCTAGGACATAGCTCATCAGCATCCCTCTGCACCTGACCCTCATGATGTTCCAACAGTTGGCCTATCAGCTTAGCAGCTGGAGTATGTTTTGAGGATGCTGCAGGTGTACCCCCAAAGCCCATGTTCTAGCTCCAGGGGTGCCCTTTGTCTAATGTCTTCATTTGTTCCCTAAGACAGATCCTGGCCTGCTGAAGAAGGGACCCCAATGGTTGCTAGCTGCTCCTGGACTCATAGCTTTATCCTTCCCTTCCCTTGGCCTGCACTCCTCATGCAAAGGATCCCATCTTTGACCTTGTCTACTTGTATCTGCTGGTCCTCCTGGCATGGTTGAACCACTTGTTCCTTCTCGCCCCCTGGCACTATTGAATCAGTTATTCATTCTCAGCTTTTGGACTGATGTTAATACTGGTACCGGATCCCCATGGGATCCACAGACATCCCGAACACATCAGGGAACTACCTGCAGGCTCCATCCCCGGAGAAGCCATGCGGCTTCTCCTTGTGGGTCTACCAAGCAGAATCTCTCAGCCACAGTGCTCTACCAACTAGCCCTGTTCTCAAATTTGCTACCCCAGCCATTAGACCATGTGTTCTTTCCCCATTCTGTCTTTCCTCTAGGGGTCAAAGACAGCGATGCAGGGGCTGTGATAGGTAATTTCATGCTCCATACTCCTTTGTGAAGTCAGAAGGGACCTGCACATGATCATCACTAGGGGTCTACAATGTATATATTTCTCACAAAGACATGCAAGAGATCCCTGCTTCTCTCTTCTGTGTCCTGGACTCCCAAGCTGTGCTGAGTAACCTACAGTTCACATCTCAAACTTGATCACATATCCAGGGAGTCACTGGAGAGTCACCCTCTCCCAGCCCACACCCACGGCACCACGACCTTCCCTCTCATACTCCTGACCCCCGCTTCATATTCTGATTGCGGAGCTCACACATTCCTCTCAGACATGGTGGCCCTTGACTCTGAGTCTTCAAGCCCCTTTGCCCAGGCCATCAGCTGACCAGGACTCCCCAGCTCCTAGTCCTGGTCTCAAGACTCCTCAGGTTTCCAGGCGACCTCAATAGTTCCCACACCCATTGTTCTTTCTCTGCAAGCAATCTGGAAACGGGGTGGGGCGCTAGACCTAGTGAAGAGAAATTCGCCTCACTTACATGGCCATCTAGTGCCCAGTGGTAGTCTTTGAACTTGTTCACAAAGATCTCCACAGGCCCTATGACCTCGTAGACCTGAAGCAGGAGGCGGAAGTCTTCCCTTCTATAATTTCCTGGAGAAAGAAAGGAAAGAAAGTTTCAAATAGGTTGTATTTGAAACTCTACGAAAGTTCTCAAAACCCATATTTGTGGATGTTGTGGGCATGACTGTCTGTGTGACACTTCCGTGTGACACTTCTGTGTGACACTGGGTTAAATGTCTCCTGCACACATGTTGGTGCATGTGCTTGTATGTGGTTGAATGTGAATGTGTGCGGGAATGTGAGGACACATGTTCATAACCGAATAGCTAAGGACTGTGATTCTGTTTTTATATGTATGAACAAAAGTATGTTTTTTTTTTTTTTTTTTTTTGGTGGGACTGGGAAAATGGCTCAGTGAGAAAAGCCACCTGCCTCCAGGTGTAATGACCGAGCTCCATTCCTAAGATCCAGATGGCAGAAGGAGAGACCCTCCCCTCCTGAGAGCTGCCCACTGATGCACACATTGTGTGGCATGTGTACAAGCACATAAACACACACACATATACAACTTAAAGGTTTTAAAAAGGAATATAATTTTATATATTTTGATCTGACCATCAATGCATAGGTACGTTTGTTTACAAGTCCACGAACACAGAACAGCAGACACACTCAGGAGAGTGTGTCTTTTATTAGACCGAATGAGTGACTAGGACTGTGTGTGTGTGGGGGGGGGGGGGGGGTTGATCACACATGGGCTGTGTGTATGCAAATTAATTAATTCATTCATTCAGCAACTCATCTGTCTAGGCAAGAAAACACTTGTTTTATGATTATACAAATGTTGAAGCCTGAATAAACTCTAAAAGCGGATGCTTGAAGAAAAAGAGATCTCTCCTGGTCTTACTAGTTACTATGGTAACCTCTAACGGTGCCCACAAATACACACAGTTTTAAAGTGCCAATAAAAAGGAAATTGCTTCTGCGAATGCTTTTGTGGAATGCATTGTCTTTCCTATGAATATAGTTTTTATTACTTTAAAACTTGGAGGTACAATATATTCTGATGGGTATATTCACTCCTAAACTGGCATTTGTTTTAAAGTCTCATTTGCCATTATTAAAGAGGCCAGAAGGAGCTGCCTTCACGTGGGTGCTGAGAACCAAACATGGGTCTTCTTTAAGAGTAGCGAGGGCTCTTAGCCACCAAGTCATCTCCCCGCCCTTAGATTGGTATTTTTTATCCCGGAGATGTGACATGAAATCGCTTACATTTTATTCTGGGGATATGTTCTGTTTTTAGCTTTTTTAAAATATAAATATCATTCTGAAGTGAACATTTGTTTATACTCTTATATATTTTCTCCATGTCTATTTTATATGGCAAAAATATCTAATGAATATGATAATTTTCAAGAGTCTTGCCCAGTTTTCCCCTGGAACTGTTTAGACTATGGTATGATTTGTCAGTACTGAGCTGGAGTTTGTGAGAAATCACATTTTGTGTTTGCGTTTTCATTCTGATTGTGCTTGTAAAGTATTTTTCTTTAGTCAAATTATTTGTTTTGTTTTATTTATTTATTTGGCTTTTTTGTAGCTTTTTTCCTTTCTTTTTTTATTTTTTGAAACAGAGTCTCACTATTTGCTCTGACTGTCCTGGAACTCACTATGTAGACCAGGCTGGCCTTGAACTCACAGATATCTGCTTGCCTCTGTCTCCTGGGTGCTGGTGTTAATGGTCTGAGCCACCACAGTAGGCCCTTTTCTTTAGTGTATTGACTGCACTTGGGCTGCTGGGAATTCTCTGCTTCTACCTTTGGCTCAGTCTTCAGGGTATTTCTCTTTCCTTTGAGGGAGTTCTTCATATGTCTGAGTTATTATGTTTGCCATTAGTCCACAGGGAGGAGGAGTAGATACTCACTCTTTCCTGACTGACAGGCAAGTCTGAGCCCCACCTGACCCTATGATGCAGTGATCTGATTCATCCCAGTTGAGGTGTATAACTGTCACCCTTGCACCTGCCCTGCTTTCTCTCAGAGACATGGTTTCCTCCTTACCTGTCAAATGCAGTTCCACCCCACTGAGGTCGAGCATGGAGGCGTTAACCTTGCTGTTGGCTACCTGGAAACTGGTGATTCTAAGCACGGCTGACTGCTTCTTCCCCTGGTATTCATAGGCCCCTCTCCACATAGAATTCTTGGCGAAAACATCCCCTGGAACTGGAAGGATCAAGGAACATGTGAGTTAGACTTTGGATGTTGCTGGGGCAGCCAGGGACAGACAACCTGATGACTGATTATAGATGAAGACTTGTGTCTGATGTGGTGACGGTAAGCTGCTCTGGTGGCTTTGTGGTCCTCTTGTGTCTTAGAGTACTGTGGAGGGAACAAAACCGGCATATTGAAGGGACATCTGTATGTCCACGTTCACTGCAAACATACACAGCAGCCAAATCATGTCAACCGCAATGTCCGTGGGTAGATGGATAAAGAAAAGGGACTAAACTATGAAATACCATTCATCCCTAAAAAAGGAAAATCCTTTCATTTGTGATAACATGAATTTGGGGGATGTGATGCTACATGAAATAAGCCAGAAATAGAAAGATTATTGTGAGGTATCATTTACAGACCAAGCTAAAATGTCAAACTTTAGAAGCAGGGAGTGGAGAGAAGAGGGATTGGGGGTGTAGACACATGGTCAAAGGAGACGCAGTTCCAGCCAGGCAGGAGAGACGTTAGACATTGGTAATCTACTGCCCAGTGTCCCGACTATGGTCAATATACTGTATATTTTAAATATGCTTTAAAAGTATATTTTAAATGTTCTAAATGAGGGGATGTGCGTTAATTAGCTTCATATAATTATATGAGAACATATATGCAAAGCGTAACTTCATACTGTGTTTCATATACATGTGCTTAAGAATAAAATGTAAATATATTTGCTCACATGTGGGTAATAGCTGTTAAGTCGATGGTAACTAAGGAACCTCTCAGAACCACAGAGGTTAGGTACAGGGAAGGGACAAGAACTTGGGGACAGAGCTCTGTAGGAAAGAAAAGTAGAATAGATAGTTATGGATGTATGAGGCTTTGGAATGGGAGAATCAAGTGGGTGAGAGAAGAGGGGATAAGGGAGGAAATACAGGGAGAGAGAGCTAAAATTAAGGGCCATCTGAGGGGTAGCGTGGAAACCTAATACGGAAGAACCTTCCAAAATACATACATATATGAAAGCAATCTAAATGAATTTGCCCAATAATGGGGGAAGACAGAGTCCCAAGTGGACATCTCTTGTCACCAAATGAAGCTTGCAATACCGGGAGTTGTCAGCCAGAGGGGTCTCATTGGGGTCCTTAAATAACCCAAGCTTTTGCCAAGAGGTTGCATTCCAAAAACTGATGGCAAACTACCATTGCTGAAGCGAATACCTCCACAACTCATTGAACATAGAATAGTCAGGCTGGTGCCTACGTAGAACCTTCATCCATGTGTGCTGGCTTCATCAAGTATCAGAGACCTGTGTCCTCACTTGTGGGCTGCAGCTCCATTCTGCAAGTGGGGCCATTCCACTTCCTCATCAAGGTCACTTTAGGTCTTAAACGCTACAACTTTTCAATGCCCCAATACTGCAAATCACATATACAATGTGAGTGTATAGAGGCTCCTCGCTCCTGTTCCCTGGCAAGTGTGGCTACCAAACCATTCATCTTTATAGCAACTTTCTTAGGCAGTGGTTCTCAACCTGTGGGTCATGACTGCTTTGGGGGTTGCATATCAGATATCCTGCATATCAGATATTTACATTACCATTCATAACAGTAGCAAAATTACAGTTATGAAGTAGCAATGATATTATTTCATGGTTGAGGGTCATCACAACATGAGGAACTGAATTGAGGGGTCACAGCATTAGGAAGGTTGAGAACCACTGCTCTATGGCAAGATTTTCCCTTCCTATTACCTAACAACAGTATTTAATTGACACTTAAGATGTGAAGGTCCGTTGTCACCAAAATGGCCAGTAAACTGAATCTACAGAACTTTAACATATGTGCCATGGTACATGACTGTCTGGATCTGGAAGGTTCCCCCAGAAGTCCACTAGTAAAGCTTAGTTCCCAGCTTGGCACTCTTGAGAGGTGGAAGGTGGAGGGTGGGTGGTGGAAACCTTAGGAGTTGGGGCAGGAGGTTTTAGGTCAGTAGGGCACGCCACTGAAGGGAATTGTGGGGCCCCAGCCACTTTGTCTTCCCATTTCTCTCACACGCAACTGTGAGGTGAGTGGCCTTTCTCCACAATTTGTTCCCACCATGCCATTTACTACCCCCTCACCAGCCTCACAGCCAACCAGTCCTGGATTAATCACCAGAACTGTGAACTAAAATAAACATTTTGGGGCTGGAGAGATGGCTCAGTGGTTAAGAGCACTGACTGCACTTCCAGAGGTTCAAATCCCAGAAACCAAATGGTGGCTCACAACCATCTATAATGAGATCTGATGCCCTCTTCTGGTGTGTCTGAAGACAGCTACAGTGTACTCATATATAATAAATAAATAAATCTTAAAAAATAAAGATAAACACTTTGTCTTCCTAATTGGATTGGATACGGTCTTTGTTACAGCAGTGGAAAGTTAAAAAGCATGGTAATAAAAGTAGAAGGTCCAACATAGGACATCAGAGTTTGTAGTAATTTTGCATTGGCCAAGCTGCACCTGTGATTGTGTCCAGTTCTGGATGTGACATTCTTAAAGACACAGTGTCTATGTTGAAGAGGTCCCAGTGATGAGGAAGCTCCCTGAGAAGGACCAGAGTCTCTGGGTTTGTGAACACACACTGGCGGGTGCTATGCCAGGAAGGGCTGCAGTACCCAGTGATTCCAGAGCTCAGGGCCCCAGTCACTTTTCTAAGGGCCTGGGCTATCTCTTCTGCTGAAGCTTCTTGTTAAGGTTCATTTCCTCCTAAAGTTGACATGTCTTAGGAGTTGTTAGGGAATTATCTTGGTGTCTGTGGAGGGTCTCCATTCCTTCCTGCTGGGCATGGGACCTGTGTGCTCGAAACTGGCTAACTGCATGGCAGAGGCAGCACCAATTTCGTGAGCCAGCAATCTGGACTCTGCCTACCTGAGGCTTGGGTGAGCAGAGGCTCCCGGGCAGTGTTGATGGGTCTCCCGCTGGGCCGGACCTCTGCTGGGAAAGGCAAGAGGGAAGAAATAGGGTCAGCCTCTGCTTCACAGTTTGGAGGGAGAACGATGACGGCCACCTGCCTGAAGTTAGGTGAACATGTTCTCTGAGTGTATAGAAGACAGTTGGCAGAGAAAGACTAGAATCCTTCCTCTGCCTGGGCTTCACACACCCGAAAAAGCATGGTGAGGAAGAACCTTGCTTCACTATAAACACAGGAGAGGCCGGTGCTGTGTAAATGACCTACCATGGTGCTGCTGGCCAGGGCTTTGGGACTTTTCTCTCAGCTCACTAGCCCACTCACAGCCGGGCAGGACTTTCTCTTCCTTCCTAAAATGTCTTTAGTCCCACCATCCCCTTCACCCTCCGTCACGAGCCTGGAGACTCTGGCAAGTGTCCCCCGGGGAACAGATCACTTCTGTAACATGGTAATGTGCCTTGCTGTGAACTCCTTTAGGACAGACAAGCACCCCATGCCCAGAACAGGCCTGGCAGAGTGATAGTAAGACTATCAGGAGGAGAGGATAAAGTCAGGCACTCTTCAGGCCTGCTAGGAGGAACTGAGCGGACGGTGTGGCTTGCTTAAGTGAAGGGGACAGTGTGTGTTTGCTTAAGTGAAGGCAGGCAGTGGGGTCAACATGAACTTGTGTGAGCTGTTCAGAAGTGGTCTCCTGTCTCAGCCACACTTCAGTTGGAAGCTTTGTCTTTCTCCTGGTCCTATTCAGTGCCTGTCAACCCCTTCCTCCATGGCTTCAGCCCTAGAAAGGGCTCGCTCACCCAGGCAGATGGGCGGTTTGCCTGTCCAGCTGCCGTCAGCTTTGCAGGTACGGTGCTCAGAGCCACCCCTGAGGGAGAAGCCCTCCTGGCAGGAGTAGATGAGTGTGTAACCCATGGACGGCAGGTCCAGGGCCCCGACGTTGGCATGTGTGGGTGTCTCTGGTTGCTTGCAGTGGTGGGCTGAGTGATAAGAGCAAAGACAAAGTTAGGCCTGAGAAGCCCGGGATTTGAAGATGCAGCAGACACATCTGAGGGGCCTCTCCCCCTCCCCCATCCATGTTCCTATGTAGAACCCTGTTCCTTTCCATCTCTGCTCTTTCATGCCTGGCTCCCCCTCCTTCACTTCTTTGCAAGCTCACATTCAAGGTCTTTAGGAATATTTTAGCATGATGGCTTAGCCAGTCAAGGGGAATCTCATCTGCAATACCAAGAAAATGAGTCTAATGTCTGTGATGTTTCCATGACCCTACCCCTCTATAGTTCTTAGTTCTCGCTGGCTCTGGATTACTTATTCTTTGCTAAGGTATAGGGATGACCTTCAAATTCCAAAAAGACTTTTGTGTAGAAAGGTCTGTGATGCCCTAAGAGGCAAGTATTACAAAGAGATCAACACTGGTCCTGATGGAAACTCATCCCAGCACTCCATCCTGGGCTGGTGGATGAAGTGTGGGGTCAGGTGGGGTGGCACTCACGGACACAGTCAGGTGGGGTTCCACTCCAGGTCAGGTTGGGAAGGCAGGTCCTGGTGGTGGATCCCTGAAGCAGGTAACCTTTCTGACAACGGAATAGCACCGTGCTCCCAACCTGCCACAAGGACAGAAGTGTCCCATGTCACCTTCCACCTAGCAGTGTCTCACTGTCACATACTTACTAGGGGAGAACTCCAACTCAGGCTGTTGCCTCTGTTGGCACCATGAGGCTTCTCTCTCTAGCTGAGTCCTAATCGGTCCTTTGGGACCAACTGAAAGTATGCCTTGTGACCAGATCAGTGCCCTTACTGGGCATATCACACAGTTAGGGCAAGCATTTTCTCCTTGAATGGAACCCTGAACCCCAGTCTCCCTGAGCACACAGAATGACACTGGAAATCTGTGACATTCAAGTGTGTGACCGTTTCTGTGTCCCTTTCTTCTGTTCTAAGGATTGGAGACCTGTCTACTTTATAGGTGTGAAGAATCTGTGTTTTGGAAAACTCAGACGGAATTGTTGCCTTCTCTTGTTTGGCTGTGTCCTCATCTCTATCCTTTAAGAGTCACTGGCTTCTTCTGTCTACTTGGCTTAATAGACAGGTCAGTTTCCCACAATGCATTTCAGACTGAATCTCCCAGCTCCAACGTTCATGGGTCCTTATACCAACAAAGTCCGATTCAGACTCAAAGCATTACTCTTCGTTACACAGGTTTCTGCCACACCCACCTGTTCTCTCAGCCTTCCTCATTTGGTTCTACAGATTGGGCACCTTTCTCTGCCTAGTTGGCCAAATCAAAATCCTCAAGCTAATTCCAATTCCACCCTTGTCCCCCAATCCTACCATGGGGCCTCTTGGCTCTAGGGAATCACTAGGAGAGCACAATGCATCCTGAAGGCTCTGCTTCCCCTGCAATGCTGCCCCCTCTTTCCGCTCAGTCATGACAGCAGGGGTCTCCTCGTCTGCATCCTTCATGCTTCTGTTTCGAACCACTGTGTTTTCTGTCCTTGACTCAGCAGCCCGAGTGGCATTTGAAATAGTGGATCAGAGTCACTGCCTTCAAGGGCAGAATAAAATCCAGGACACACACACATGTTGGCCTCAGGGCCTGCAGTACACCCATGCCTTTGTCTTTGCAAAAGTTACGATGCAATGCAGCTCCTCCACAAAACCTGGGGACTGGAACACTGGGCCCAGGTGGCTCATCTGTTAGCTCTCTCCCCATCTACTCCTCAGTTCCTCTCTGGTAACTGCTATCTTGAATTTGTGTTTTTAATTTCTTTGCCTTGCAAAAAAAATTCTATCATATGTATTATATAATAAGTGAATGTGTTTTTACTGTTTTAATATTCATAGCATCTTTATCCTTCAATAGCATTTTTCTATGATATCCCATGTCATATAGATCTGGGGCTCATTCATATTCCAGGCTGTATTCATTCTGAGAGCACAACACACTTGTGTGCCTTGGTGACAGGTACAAGAGTGTTTCTGGGGGATGTTTCGTGAGCAGAACTTTTGAGCCATGGACTATGTGTAACCTTCCCAGCCAGCATCAAAATCCTTTTAGACCTAGCTTAGGTCTCCATCTCCTCTCTCCTCCTGCAGTACTGCAGCCCACCCTGGCTGACCTGTCACCTAAGCCCTGCTCAGCCATTCCCTGCCTCAGTGCTTCTGTATAGGGGATATTTACTCCATCAGAAATGTGGCCCTGTCCTGAATTGGGTGGGCTTTCAAGGGCTCTTCCCTGACTCCCATTTCTGAGACAGTATCCCACCCCTCTCATACCCTTCCACATGACACCATGTGGCATGTGGCATTCTGTGTTCTTAGAAGTGATCTAGTTTGCTTGGCTGCTGTTGTCAGGCAGGCCCAGCAGAACAGAGCCCAAGACACTTATCCTATCTCTTCTGAATGAATAGCTCATGTTTCTCTCTCTCTCTCTCTCTCTCTCTCTCTCTCTCTCTCTCTCTCTCTATCAGTTGACCAGGTCCCAGCCTATAGTTCAGCAGCCATCTTGGGCCTCAGCTTACTGTCTGATCTGAGTGTACCCTGTCCTCACTGCTTCCCTTGCTCTGCTCAGTGTCACTCAGGCTGCCTAGGGCTCATTCTGAAGCAGATGTGCAAGACCTACCTAAAGATGGAAGACCCTCTGGCTGCTGCCTCACGCCTAGCCCTGGTTGGCTTCTACTGCTCCCAGTGAGCCCCGTCTGTGGCTAGAGTGAGGGTGTCTTGCTTATTTTGGTATTTTGATCTCCACAAACATTCTGCTCCAACTCTGGGGTTCCTGGGAACTGTTCATGGCTCTACCCACAGCCATGATCCATGTCAGCCTGGCTGATGGACGCCAGCATCTTCTGTTTCTGAAGGACGCTCCTCGGGACACTTCCTTACTCCCCTTCCGAGCTCTCCTACTCCCCGTGTGCTGCTCCGGGGGGCCTCTGGTGCTGACGGTGACAGGGAAAGGCAGAAGACAGGAAGGCTGCTTTGAGCTCATTACCTGGTAGCCCTGGGAGCTGTTCTGTATCCCGAACTGTGGCATGCCGGGATCTGCACACGTGGTCAGCGTGGGATCTGGATGACACAGAAACAGATCACAGGGTCACTGGCGCATTCATTGCCCAGCTTCTTCTGATCTGGAGGCCAAGAGAAGCAGCACAGCTGCCTCCTGACCCTGCCTCTCCTGACCCCACCTTCTGGGCTTTCCGCTTGTCTCAGAGGCCCAAGCAGACCTTGCATTCTCCAGTAAATTAGCTCTTGCTGTCCCACACTCTGTCTTAAGAAGCACAGAAAAGAACCCTGTTTCCACCACAAATGAGACCATGAAGATGGGGAAGCAGACCCATCACTCACCCCCATCACAGCTGCCCACCAGCCAGGCCGCTGCCCCCAGCCCCTCTCACCTATGCAGCTGGGCTGTGTGCCACTCCACATCCCGTCCGACTGGCAGAACCTCCGTGGGGAGCCCACGAGCACCAGAGGAGCTTGGCAGGAGAAGGACACAGATGACCTGTAGGAGAAACCTCGGTCCTCTCTCCTCCCTCGAGGCGGGACCCCTGGGTCTCCACAGAACACGGCTGGAAAGAGAGAGACAAAGGTTGGCCCAGGATGCTTTCGTGAACCTAGTTTTCTTCACCCCCTTCTCCTGTTTAGCCTTTTCCTTCCTTCTTTCTTTCTCTCTCTCTCTCTCTCTCTCTCTCTCTCTCTCTCTCTCTCTCTCTTTTTCCCCCTGTTTTCCTCTGGGTACACTTGAACCCTGGAACCAGGGGCATGCTGGGTAAGTGCTCTTACTCAGGTAAGAGGACCTGAGTTTTGTTCCCAGGTCAGGTGGTTCAGAATCACTGGCAACTCCAGCTCCAAGGGGGCCAGTGTCCTCTTCTAGCCTCCACAGGTACCTGGTTTTATGTGTGTGCATGCATGTGTGTGTGTGCACATACACTTGTGTGAGCACACACACACAAACACACACTTGTGCACACACACATGCATTGGTAAAAATATTTTAAAAGCCATTAAAAATGACGGCGCACCGATCAGTATATAATGGATTGTCAGACATGGGTGCTTGGAAAGCTCTTGGTGGCTTGTCAACAAATACAGGTCATGAAATAATGTGTCAAGATCCAATGCCATTTCAAAGAACTTGAACATATATCATTATTACTATGGTCATCTCTGGGAAATTTTATTTTTTCCTTCATGTTTTTAATAGAGTAAATCAATCTCTCTCTCTCTCTCTCTCTCTCTCTCTCTCTCTCTCTCTCTCTCTTTCTCTCCCTCTGTGTGTGCACATGCACATGTGCATGCATGTCTTCAGGTGTGTGTGTGTAAGCCAGGGGACAACCCCAGCTGTCATTCGTTGGTACTGTCCACATTATTTTTTGAGTCAGGGTCTGTCTGCCTCCCCAGTACTGAAATTACAAGTGTATTGTGCCATACTCAACCTTTTGTTAAAAATGTGGGTTCTGGGAGGTGGGGGTGCCAGGCTTTTGAGGTACCTGCTTTGCTGATTGGTTCATCTCCCCAGCTGCTGTACATTTTCGTTTGCTTGTTTTGGTTTGCAATGACCGAAATTCACTGTTGTTTTGTGTGTGCTGGGGAGGGAACCCAGAATGTCATCCACACTACGCATGCACTTCACCCTCAGCCTTCATACTGACTATACACAGGCAAGGTTGATTTTTGTTTCAGGAGGAAAAGCAGAGTTGAGTCCAGACAACTCGGAGGCTGTGACCTGGTACATGTGCCCCTGGTGACCCTGGTACCCCTAGTACCCCTGGTGCCCCCGGTGCCCCTGGTATGGCGAGAACACCAGAGGTGTTGACTATAAGCAAAGTCCGTTTTTTTTTTAATTTTGTTTTTTGGTTTTGGTTTTTTCCTGAGATACTGATCCTAAGTGTGGTGGAAATTCCCAAAATAAAGCCGACTTCCTTGGGTATCTAACAGTGGCCAAGCTGTGTAGATTATTTCCAAGGGATAACAGTAAGAAGAAAACTGGTAAACCCTACCGTTGTGTGCAACATGAAAACAGAGTGAACTTTCGAGAGCCCACCCACGGGGTGCATCTAGAATCCTTCAGCCCACTTCTCTGGGAACCCAGGAAACCTGAGTCCTGGAATGGACCATCAGGGCTCATCAGAACACAACTGATACCGGATAGCCTCTAAACAGAAAGCCCTCAGACATCTTTCCATGAAGAGACATTTGTCTGACATGAGATAGCCTCACATACACCTCACTCTGTTACTGATCCCTTCAGGTCCAGAGACACTGCTATTATCTCTGACTTCATTTCCTTCCACTGTGACTTCAGACAGTGTCCAAATTCAGGCCTCCATAAAAATATTCTCAATGTCTTCCTTTAAATTTCCTTCCTAGTTTTATGGGATTTTGAGAAATAGCTCTGCTTCAGGGAGAAAGCTGATGATTCTATGCTTTCCATAGAGAGCGCTGGTAGATGTGTGTGTGAGAGCGCGCATGCGCAAGGGGGAAATGCAAGCCCTGGAGGACGTGCCTAGCCCTTGGGAGTCACTTACGGAAGCACTGGGGCAGCTCTCCGGTCCAGGATCCATTTCCCTCGCAGGTGAGCACAGCAGGCAGGGAGAGCTGGTACCCCTCCAGGCAGGCATAACTCACGCTAGAGCCCCACATGAAGTCAGACCCCACCACTTTTCCATTAGGGATGAGCTGAGGAGGTTTGCACATGATAGCTGTGGGGAGACCAGAGGAGGCTGAGTTCTGAGGCTGTCCCGAGGAAACAAGCCCAGTTACTACTGTTATCAGTATCACCAGCTACCCTGCAGCAGCTTGTCTGGGCCAAGCAGAAAGGATCTGAGGCAGTTCCGATATTTTACTTTACGTGGATCTCACGTATAACGTTTCTGTTCCCCCTGTCACACAGCCCTTGAGGATGCTTGAGGCTCAGATCTTTCCTCAGGACTTCCCAACTTTCTGACAATCTGTGCAGGACCAGTCTTCACTTTGCACACCCTTTTTGGGATCCCACGCCCCCCTGCTCTCCTGGATGTTCAAGGCCGATGCCTACGCGTGTCTCTTCTTTGGCCCCCATCTGCATCCTCAACCTCAGACATACCTTTGCACACGGGCTTGGTACCGTTCCAGGTTCGGTCCTTGGTGCAGCTCAGCACAGACACTCTGTGTGATTCCATCACATAGCCAGGGACACACTGGTACGTCACAGTTTTGTTGTACCTGAAGTCATTGCCAATCCGGATGCCATTGGCTGGAATCCCGGGGTCACCACAGTTTATGACTAGAGTAAAAAAGACACAATGCTTGTCACTCCTAGGCCAGGCCTTGTCTCCTCAACACCTCAATCCCTCTCCATCACTCCTACACTCACCCGAGGAGGAGCCATCAGACCAGCCAAGCAATGGGCACCACTGGGCACAGCCAAATTTCCTTGCAACAGCCGACCCACAGACCCACCCTTCATGCCTATACCATGTGTGCCATCCAGCTACACTATGGCCTCCCTTCTTATTGAAACCCACTCCTCTGAGAAGAAGGACCACACAACTTTTTTTTTTTCCTAAAGTAGGTGAGATCTTGGGCAAGAAGAGTTTCTAGACTGAAGAACTTAAGCTGTGTTTGTAAATGGATCAAAAAGACAGCTTGCCCTGGGATGCAACATCTCCCATGACAGTCTTTCTGGGAGGCTTTTTTTTCCTGCCCAGAAGCAAGGTTTTAAGAACTATGCAAAAATCAAGTTCCTGTTAGGAGCCACGATATGACTGGTGACCTATGAACTTAATGTGGAATTCCAGGTGCAGCCTGAGGTCACAGAGTTGACTCTGAAAGGAGGAAATCTCAGAGTTACTCAGTCCATCTCTTCCCTCTGTCTGGGTACCTCAATATCTGGCTTTCTAAAGAAAAGGGTCTGGGATACCCTGAGAGGGGTGAGGGAGGGGAGCTAGGCAGATGCAATGCTCAGAAGCTGGGTTGGGGGTGCAAATGTGTCTGAGGTAGGAAAAGAAGTAAATATGGTAAGCGGTGTCAGCTTCAAAATGGACAGAGTATGACAGGGCCCTGACTCTGAAAAAAGGAAAGAGAAAGCCTGAGATGAGCCAGAGCCAGGATGATGGCTGGTGTATTGTATCAGGCCCTGTGAACCTCAGCTGTCATCTGTAAAAAGTGGGGCCCCCAGCTACTGTGTCCCTGCTCACACTATCCTGGTGTATGCCTGCACCAGCATCTTTTACTATGCTCACTCACCCTGTTTACAACACCCGCTCCTCAGAGAGTAAGTACGCACAGATACCTCACAGGGTTGTAGTGAGATTCTGGTGGCATGTACATGGGAAAGGAAGCACTTAGCTCCATGGTTGCCGTGTAGAACATGCTCAGCACACAGAGGCTATTCAAATGGTTCCACTGTAATTATTTTCTCCAGACACCCAGTGACAGCTGACTCAGCAGGGAGGGGCTGGTTGGTCTGAGCTGCCATTTGCAACAGAGTCCAGGGGGCTTGTCTCTTACCCGTGCACTCAGGGTCACTGCCTGTCCAGGTGCCGTTGACAGAGCAGTGTCGGCTGAGCAGGCCTGTTGCGTAGTAGCCTTCGCGACACTCATAGACAATGGAACTGGAGAACACCAGACCGTCGCTGAACACCACTTGGGCATTGCTTGGAGTTCCGGGGTTCCCGCATGAGATCACTGGGAGAGCAGAAGAGCACTTTATTCCCCAGAACCCAAACTGTCGAGCTGAAGAACCACAGAACCCTAAAGACGGAGGTACACCTCATGCTGCTGTTGTATTGTCTCACTCATAGGAAGGGACAGGCCTGTATGAGATTTTTCTAGTGAAATTATTTAATTTGTGTGTGTGTGTGTGTGCATGCTGGTGTCTGTGCAAGCCTGTGTGTGGAGGCAAAGGGTTGGTATCAGGGCTCTTCCTCCATCACTCTCCACCTTATTTTTTTTTTTTTTTTTTTTTTTTTTGATACAAGGTCTCTCACTGAATCGTCAGTTTGGCTAGGCTGGCTGGCCAATGAGATCCAAGGACTTGCCTGCCTCTGCTTTCTCCTTCCACAGCACTGAGGTTGTAACCCAAGTCACCATGCCTGTGGCTTGGTGAATATGCTTTGAATATGCTTGGCCCAGGGAGTGGCACTATTAGGAAGTGTGGCCTTGTTGGAGGAAGTGTGTCACTGTGGGAGTGGGCTTTGAGACCTTCCTCCTAGCTGCCTGGAATCCAGTAGTCTTCTGTTTGCTTTCAGAACAAGATGTAGAACTCTCAGCTCCTCCAGCACCATGCCTGCCTAGATGCTGCCATGTTTCCCACCATGGTGGTAGTGGACTGAACCTCTGAACTGTAAGCCAGTCCCAATTAAATGTTGTCCTTTATATGAGTTGCCTTGGTCATGGTGTCTGTTCACAGCAATGGAAACCCTAAGTGAAATAGCTGCTTTTATGCAGATGCTGAGGACCTGAGTACAGGCCTCATGCTTGCCCAGCAGGCACCTTACAGACCAAGCCACCTTCCCAGCCCTGATACTAACTGCACGTTCCTGCCATCTGTGATAATACTTACATCAGGCTCCTTCTAGCACTTCTCCAGGATGCCGCTAACGGGACTCTTGATCTGGGTGCTCTCTTATTTTTAAATTTTATTTCTTATTGAAAATGAAGTTATTTTTGTACAATATATTCTTTTTTAAAAAAGCCATCTTTTAATTTTTTTTTATGTATGAGTCCTCTGCTGCATATATACCTGCATGCCAGAAGAGGGTGTCAGATCTCTTTATAGATGGTCATGAGCCACCATGTGGTTGCTGGGAATTGAACTCAGGACTTCTGGATGAACAGCCAGTGCTCTTAACAGCTGAGTCATCTCAAGGGCCCTGTATAACATATATTCTGATCACAGTTTCTCTTTCCTCATCTCCTCCCAGATCTTTCCTGACACCATCCCAACTCCTCCCTCCCCCTGCCACCCCCCTCTTTCTCTCATTGATCTGTTTGTTTCTCTGGTCTTTGGCTTCCACTGAAAGGGGAGTTTAAGGCAGGAGAGAAAGGAGCTAGAATCTGAAATTGAGCCACCACAGCCCCAGCCCTCTGCAGCAGATAACGGCTGAGCAGGTGATACGTTTCATGAAGAAAGGTTTGCACAATACCAGACTCCCCACCCCTATTTTTTAAAAAAATATAGGAATAAGAATAACAAGTTTGTGTCCTAGCATTCTTCAAAGGTGAGTTTATGTAGGAACATTTGACCTCCTGGACTTAAATGTATTTAGCGTGTTAGCAGCCACCGCTCTTCTTCTTCCTGTTGACATTGAAGTTGTCACATTTGGCTGAGGGGAGCCTCTTCAGGATGTCAGTTTCTTTCACACAATCCTATTTAACTTTGGGGGTGTTCCTTGCTGGAGAGATGGAATATTTCAGGTTTATCTTGATATTCACTAACCCTGCTCTGTAACAATTGCTCCAAAGACCCTGGCTTCTCTGAGGGTTCTCACTGTGGCTGAGCAGCCATGGATTCTAGATGGTTGGGTTGTATACACAACTTTTCGAATTGAAAATACATACGTCAAGAGAGTATAGTGATACTGCCAGTCCGACTTGGGGGTTAAGGGTTTGCCTTAACTTCTTGTAAGATGAAGTTTTTAAGAATCCTCTGTGTGTGTGGCATATGTGCACACAGATGCATGTGTCCCTGTATACCTGCAGAGGCCAGAGGACAATGCTGGGTGTCCTGCTCTATCATTCTCTGCCTTATTTCTTTGCGACAGGCTCTCTCACTGAACCTGGAGCTAAGGTGGTAGCCAGCAAGTAATAGAAATCTTCCTTTCTCTGCCCCCTGAAACACTGGAGTTATAGGTGGATGGCCACAGTCGTCTCTATTTTTTAATTGTAGGTGCAGGGAATTTGAACTCAGCTCCTTATATTTGTGCCACAAGCACTCCTACCTCTGGAGTCACCTCATTGGCCCCTACTTCTTTATTTTTATGTGCTGAAAAATCTTGGCTCTTGATGACAGTAAATAATTACTTATCAGCTTTATCTATCTATATTACGTTTCTGTGGCTTTGGAATAATAATACCCACACTGTTTCTGCTGGGAGCCAGTCGGCCTCAGGCTTTCCCGAGGCTCTGATGTATGGAGAAGGAACACAGTTCCCTGTATAAATCTGGGACTATGCTTGGCCAGGCCTGAAATGGCCTGGGCCAGAACTTGGGGGAGCTGTGACTTCATCCTGTGAACTCAGCTCTTCTCTCTAAGGGCATATGTTTATCAGTCCCAAGGCCACTGACCGCTACTCTGTGACACACGTGAGATATTCTGTGTTCCCTTTGTGTGTATTGTTTGATTAGCTTCCCACTGAAAACTGTATATAAGATGCCCTACTTCTTAATAAACTTGCTTGATAGAAGACACAGCTTGACATAACATGTAAAGCCTCCTGACCCCAAAATGCCTATCTTATTTATTTTCTGACTCTTTTGTCTTTCCTCTCAGGGACTTGTCACTGAAGAACCACTTGCTGATCCACATCAGTTTCTGATACCCTGATAGCTGAAAACAGTTTGAGGGTTCTTTGTGGTTCTCTTTGTCTTCAGGATATAAAACCCTGGCCAAATCCCACTTGGGCAGATAGTTGAAATAATTTTCTGAATTATGAATTCACCAAGTTGATATGTAGTTAGGGTCATTTGTGCCCTGCCAGGATTTTTATATAGACAGTGTATAATTCTAATAGCTAATTTGATTTTGTAATGATGAATGATATGTCTGCAGCCCCAGAGTAAAGTCTACACGTAATTTTTGTACTGCTAGCACAGCAGACAGGCCCTGTGTTTCCTTCATCCGATGAATCTTTGTGCTGTCGAGCTTGAGACACAGTGAACAAGTTATGTTCCCTGAACTTCAGGAGCTTAAGTCTGTTCTTTTGGGGGTGGTGCTGTAGGTGTGCAAGGCAGGCTCGCGATGTGCAAGTGTCTGCACACAAGCACACGCAGAGGCTGGAGGAGGATGCTGGCTGTTTATCACTTTCTACTTCTCTGCTTTGAGACAGGGTCTCTCTGAACTTGCTGTTTTCATGCAGCTTGATGAGAGAGAGCATTGGGCTCTTGAGATCCACCTGTCTCCATTCCCAATGCTGTGGTTACAGGCACTCAAAGCCGTGCCTGGCTTCTTACATGGGTGCTGGGATTTGAACTCATGTACTCATGCTTGGAGAGCATGTACTCTTCTTACCCACTGAACTACCTGCCCCTGGGCCTCAAGTCTGTTCTTAAGAAATCCACATATTAAACATGAATTAAAATAATAGCATTGAGTGTATCAGGAAGAAAGCACCAAAAACAGAGCAGTTGGGGAGGGGGGTCTAAAATCGGAATTTGAGGAGAATCTCAATGGTGACACCCCCAACATTCATTTCCAGCCCAAACTGTTGTCAAATTTCTGACCAGACCCCTGTTGATATGGCTGACCCCATCCTAGGATCTGAGTGTCATCAAAAGAGCTTCGACCCATTGGGGTGTTTAAGAAAACACTAAATTTTTCCCTGCAGTGCACTTTCCTGGCATCCCACGTCTCTCTTGATATAACTGAAAAATCAATGGAATCCAAATAACACCCCAAGAAAGGAGACCTGGGCGTGTCACCTAGCTCTTCAGGAACACTCCATCTCGGCTTCCAGCTCCTGCTGTCTGTTACCTCTTCTCTCTTCAGCTTACTCCCCTTGTGCCCAGTTCTCTGGTGACTTTTGATCTGATCCTACTATCTGTGGATTCTGCTATCTTTTCCCTGTCTCTCACTCTACCTATGAACTCACTCTTAGTCAGCTTAGATGCCCAGATTAATCATTAGCCACTGCCCCGCCCCTCTGCCCCGCCCCTCTGCCCCGCCCCCTCTGCTCTATTCCTTCTGCCCCGCCCCTCTGCCCCGGCCCCTCTGCTCTATTCCTTCTGCCCCGCCCCCTCTGCTCTATTCCTTCTGCCCCGCCCCTCTGCCCCGCCCCCTCTGCTCTATTCCTTCTGCCCCGCCCATTTGCCACAATCTGCCAACCACTGTCTTTACTGTCTGGGGAAGCCTCACTCTTGACTCCACGTGGGAAGGCCGAGGTCGGACGGACAGTCCGGGGCTGACTGCTTCCTCATTTTATGACTGACCCTTCTCTCTGCAGGAGTTCTCAGCACTGCTTGGCAGTGGCCCTTACCCACTCCCACTTTCCTACATAGTTAATTTACCTCATCTCCTCAATTTTCTTGTTCAACCTCATTCAAAGCTGTTAAAACTCTCTTTCCTAGGATGGTTCAGAGTTTTGCGGGAGAGAGAGAGAGAGAGAGAGAGAGAGAGAGAGAGAGAGAGAGAGAG